AAAAAAGTGGAAAATGTCCTCCCGGCCCCGACTGGCGACTGAGCAAAGCTCAGGAGCAACTGTCCTTTTCCGACGCTGGGTAGCGATACCGACGTTAGATATTATTAGTTATTATCGCCCCGCGGGTGTTTGCTACGGAGTTTAAACGTGGACAGAAAAACGCCGCTCAGAAAAATCGCGCTGTTAATTAACAGACAGGACAGACAAGCACTCACGCTGACCGAAATAAGAACAATAAATAGAATTAAACAGCCACCCACGTAAACAGGTAAAGCACACAAACACTCAAAACACTCCAAAAAACAATCCCAAACAATCGAATTGGTTTTTGCACCCCCTCCCCCCCCGATTAATCGAAAAAGTAATCGACAGATTAATCGATTATCAAAATAATCATTAGTTGCCGCCCTACACATAACCTATTATCTAGCTATTGGGTACCAATAAACTGGTGGTGCACAGTGTCAGGATAGAACACGATCATAGCCTCACAAGACTACCGATTCACAGAGCCTTGACAGTAAACAACTGCATTCAAACAACTACAGTATGGTGGGACAGTACCAGTTTCTCCATGGTTGAGTTTCATGTGCCACAAATTTACTTATATTGCTATGCTTATCTTTAGTGACCTACTGCTAAGCAGCATGTGTCTGTATGCTGGGTCATTATTGTCTGCCTTTGCATTGTGATCCATCCATCCATCCATCTCATACCACTTTTCTGGGTCGGATCATGGGGGCAGCAGTCTAAGCAGGGAAACCTAGACTTCCCTCTCCCTGGCCACTTCGTCCAGCTCCTCCGGAGGAATCCTGAGGTGTTCCCAGGCCAGGCGAGAGCCATAGTCTCTCCAGCGTGTCCTGGGTCTTCCCCGGGGCCTCCTCTCAGTGGGACATGCCCGAAACACCTCACCAGGGAGGCATCCTGACCACATTTCTTGAGTCTGTGCTCCTTTTGTACAACCATACTTCTCTTCTTCTACCGTTTCCTTCAGATTTAACTGCTGGATGCTTAACTAGGTGTCACTTTCATAGTATTGGCACCGGAACAAATAAAAAGTGGCATGGTGATGTCATTTGTAGCACACACTTCCAGGGCTATACTGTAGGTTTGAACCTCACCCCCTGCACTGTGTGTGGAGTTTGCATGTTCTCCCCAAGTTGAATTGCTTTCTAATGAAACCGGACACTGCAGTATAGTTTGAAATCTTAATGAATTTGTTCACTGTATTTCTGACCCTCTGACCTTGACTATAGCAGGAAGATTTCACCTTGAAACATTTTCTCATATTGGGGTCTGTTTAGTCCCCCCAAAATGGTCTGGCTGTAGACCTCACCTGTGAATAAACTTCCTCTGTCAATGAATTTCATCTGAGGGTATGTGTTAGGAATAGCAGACCACTTCTCCATCCTCTCATGTCTTACCCTCTGGAAGTCCATAAAATTCTCAAATATTCTTGCAAGCTGGATAACTGCTGAATCACCTGTTGACTTGGGCCTAATCTGCTCTGGAATATCCTCCAATTGGCCTCTCACAGCTCCATCTTGTCAACCCTGCTTCTCTCTTCCTCTGGTTTCCAGAATTACTCAGCTGTTTACTTTTGACACCATATGTTAAGAATGGCCGACTGGCTGGAGGCTCCAAAAACCAGAGGGGGCAAATGGGTTCCAATGCTCAGACAAACCTTTATTCTGATCTACAGAAAAAGAAAAATACATAATATTAATAAAAACAAAAATAATCACGCAAAGCAGGCTATATTAGACCCTGCATCAATAACAACCACACCAATCAGCACACTTCCGTCTCAAGTAAAGGCCTCCATAGGGCTTATATAAACTTCAGTCCCTCCCCCTGGAGCAATTAAATCAACAAACAATTAACATTCTCAATAAAAAACATTCCATACTAACAGTTCTAAAAGATACTATTCCAAAATACAATTTAATTCAAATTGGCCAAGCAGGGAAAGGTCAGAGGGTGGGGTCAGACGGAAGCTGACCCTGACAGTTAATATGCCGGCATTTTATAAATATAACATGTGGTTGCCTTTATATCATCATGATCCAATCCGTGACATTAAGGAAATGATGTCTATCTCAGGCATGGACTTATGGTCTTTGTATTTTTATGTAAAGGACTTTAAACTTCCCAGTTCCCAAATTTCCCAGTTCCTAGTCAGAAATTTACACTGCAACGCCCCCTTAAGTCGGAATTCTCACTTGAAAAGTTGGAGGAACCTCTGTAACCCATACCTTAGAACTCAAGATCACTCTTCATCAACAGACATGAAGCTGTAGTTATGCTGCATTCCATTTGAACTCGGATGTTGGAAACCCCAAATTCCTAGTTTGAAATTTCAACTGGAACACCCCCTTAAGTCAGAATTCCACCTCGGAAAGTCAGAGGAACCTCTGCAAATGCTACCTCAGAATTCAAGATGGCTGCGGCCTTTATCAACAGAAGTGATAGCAGTAGTTATATACTGTTTATTAGCACTTATGTCTTATTTTTGTTTCATTAAATTGGTTGTACACACAGTACTGTCCAACTACTAGCTATTGACATGTTGCTTCAGGGTTTATATGCACAAAATACCTCGTAATGCATTGTTATCAACTGACAGTGCTAACTATGGCTAATAATGAACCTGGCTAGAACTGGTGGCTGTTTCACAATGCATGATATCTTGCTTAGCTGGATAACTTTGGGCTAAATGTAAGTGAATGGAGATTTAAACTTCCGAGGAAAAAAAGTCTGATAGTACCGAATCGATTGCTAATTATAAAATTGAATGTTAGCAAACATAAAGAACCCTAACCAAGCTACAGAACAGTCCTCCAAAAGATACCCTCAGGAGGTCCCGAGAGGGGGGGCGGATGAGATCTCCATCCGGACAGACCAAACAGCATTGACCCAGGCTAACGACATGACTATGAGATGTATCTGCGACAAGCTGTGCAAGAATGTACGTGGCCTTAAAGTCTATCAGGCCAGACGCAGGAGGAGCCCGGCCCGGAGGCACCCCACAGAGCCCAGTCCCTCCCTGCTCCACAGTCCCCTAATCCTAGCAGAGCAGTTCACCAACAACAACGGATCAAGTGGCTCCCAGCCAGCAAGGGGGGTGAATGGTCACAGTTTGACAGAGATGTGATGAACATCATCCAAGTTACAGCAAAAGGAGATGGAGACCGCCGACTACATACGATGACTGCCATCGTCAATGGCTATGCGGCAGAAAGATTCAGCCTTGTCAAGAAAGGAAACATCAAACCCACTTACACCATGAACCGCAGAGCGGCCAAAATCCAGCAGCTAGAGCAAGAGCTCCAAGCTCTCAAGAAAAGATATGAGTTCTACTGAGGAGAAACAAGCCCTAGCTGACCTTCGAGACATCCTAAGGAGAAGACTGGCAACCCTTTGGAGAGCAGAGTAGCATAGAAGAAGGGGAAGAGTGAGGGCTAGAAAGCGTGCGGCGTTCATTGCTATTCCCTTCGGCTTCACAAAAAAACTGCTCGGGGACAAACATAGCGTCCAGCTCGCCTGCTCAGCAGAGGAAGTTAATGCTTTCCTGCATGACACTTTGAGCGGTCCTGTTGTGGTTTTTTCCTTCTCCGCAAAATCAGAAGTCAGAAGCCGCTGGTGTAGATCCAAATTCAGTCT